TGTGTGTGTGTGTGTGTGTGTGTGTGTAATATATATATATGTCGAAAGTGTTAGGCATACATATAATTTATATTATAATGTATACACATACACATATGTAGACACAATTATAGAAGTATAGCGCTTATGATAATTGTGAAAATACATATATGTAAGTATATACATATATATATAAGTATAATATGCGTACGATATACATGCGTATGCCCTCGCAATTATCTTTTTTTTTGCAGCGCCAATTTTTGGATGGATATATGATGAATCGATGTATAATGAATAATATACGACAAACTTCTATTATTTTATATACCATTTATGTTTGTATATACATATATAGATATATACATTTATATTTATATAAATAGGCAAATATTTATACAGTATACTTTCTGTGTTAGTACATTATAATTATATAACAAAATCGTGTTATATAGTACTGAAAATATAAAATATGTGTGGGCCCTCCCAACGCCCATTTCCGTGAGACGTAACCAATATAAATATTTTTTTCATCTCTCCGACTCTGAGTTATAAATAATTCTTTTTTCTAATAACCACTATCATCAGAACTAACGCTTCTGATTTTTATTACAATCAATACTGTTGTGTCTGTCGGATTGTAAGCTATATTTCTGTTATTTGTATTGCGCGGTACTGTACTGTTAATTATCGATCGCGTTATCGACTGATTGTTATTGTAGTTCTGCGCCATAGAGCGCTGTTGATATGCGCGCGCATCGCTCTTCTTCGGTTGCAAGCGTACATCGAGCAGATACGAACTAGCGAGCATATAAGAAGCACATGTTCGTTCAGTGTAATAAAGACAAAGTCAGTATAGATAAGTGTTACTCATTTATCCGAAACCGCAGTCAACAATTACCTTCATAGTCCTTCGAGCCGGATCCCAGAGACACGAAGTTGGGATTAAAAAACAAGGCGTCTCGCCGAATACAACAAGTAAGCACGGCGAAGCCCAGAAAAGAGACGACGTGCGAGCTCTCGTAAGCCAACGAGATAGCACGATTAAAGTCTGTCGAGACCACGGAGATTATTCACTCGTGAGACAAGGGTGAGTCAAAAGTGGCACGATATCAAAGATAGGAACGTTCGCAAAAGGTGAGACATATTTGCAACACGCGTGTCCGTTACGAAGGCGGACGATGTCATCTTGTATAAGCGAGACGACGAGCTCTCGCACAAGCGAGTGTTATCAAGATGCAGGAAGCCCTCGCAGAAAATAGCGAGGTACGCACGAGGCGACGAGTCCTCCCTACCCGAGGCGGCGAGTCCC